GATACTTAAAATCAATCTTAGAGGATGCTAAACCATATGCGCGTATGAAGTTAATGATTGTAGGAATTCAAGGTATCGGTAAAACTAGCCTATTGGAGCAATTGAGACAAGAAGGTGAAGTTCCAAATAAAAAGAAGGCTACAGAACATTGGGCAAAAAGAATGGGTAATAAAAATATTAATGCAAAGACTGCCAAAGGAACAACCATATCTACAGTTGGTGTTGATATTGGAGATTGGATCTACGAAAAGAAAGTAAGAGGTCAGTCATCTCACGGCCCAGTTTATTTTAGAACGTGGGATTTTGGTGGACAAAAGGAATACTACGCGACACATCAGTATTTCTTATCTAAGAGAAGTTTGTATTTGGTTATATGGAGGATCACAGATGGTTTCAAAGGAGTATCTGAAATATTTCAATGGTTAGTAAATATTCAAAGCAGAGCCCCTAATTCTCCAGTAATTATTGTTGGCACTCATTACGATATATCGTACGAGCATAGCGAGGCATTACAACAGTACATTCGTGACAAGTTCATACATGTTGTCGACGCTGAGAAATGTGGCTTGCCGAAAGTTATGGAGACCATTGAAGTGAGCTGTAAAACGAAACACAATATAAAAATGCTATGCAATTTGATATATGATGTTGTATTTAGTTTAAGATCACTTGGAAGCAAAGAATTATTACTCGAACAAAAAGTTCCTGCCAGTTATCTCGCCTTGGAAGACGTAGTAATACAGCTTGCACACGATAGGAAATTATCGGGTGCAGATCCGGTTTTAAGAGCTGATCAGTATTATTCGACAGTAAATAATGAACTTCAAAAATTACACAGATCATTTAGAGATCCTGCTGAACTACATCAAGCAACACTTTTTCTTCATGAAAATGGCATTATTTTACATTATGACGATGCTACTTTGAAAGATTTATATTTTCTTGATCCACAATGGCTTTGCGACATGTTAGCACACGTAGTAACGATACGTGAAATTAACCCTTTTGCCAGATGTGGTATAATGAAAATGGATGATATTCAACATGTTTTTAAATCTTCTACGATATCATCTATAGATACGCAAGGATATATCGTTAGCTTGTTAAATAAGTTTGAAGTTGCATTAACTTGGGATTATCGCACTTTATTGATTCCTTCTTTATTACCAACTGAAGAAGATATTTTAAGGAATAATCAAATAATTAAAATTCCTGTAAAAACACGAGGTTGGCACATACGTTCTAAAAAAATTACATCTCCAATGATAACATTTCAAAATTCGTCTACCGATGGTAAATCGTATACGGAGTGTGTACTAACGTCTAGGTCACAACCAGATTGTTCCGTTACACGACTGCTTTTGATGTCTTACTTTCCCAGTGGCTTTTGGTCGAGGCTCATAACTAGAATTTTGGCCGATGATGCTATTGTTGAAATTGTGATGTCGTTTTTAGCGCCTTTCAAAGATTTTGTCGATGATAATATATTCACTAGCTTGTTAGATACACAAGCAGAGTGGGTTCTTTGGCAAACAGGAATAGAATTAAGATATTCTAATATTACTTTACTACGTCTCAAAGAAGTCAATTATAACTTAAAAAATTCACCATATGACTATAGACAATTTAAATTTAAACTGAAACAAGATGGAATATGGTGTACAGTAGATTTAAAGAATTCAGCAATTTTAGAAATTTGGTTCCCAGTTGATACGTTAGTGATAAAACAACCTATATTGTCAGATTCAGCTGAAGAAGAACCGATGGGTTATCAAGCAATTGTAGTAGAACCTCGACCAGAAAGTATGCCACAATTATTGGCATTGATAGTTGATCATATTGATATTTTGCTAGAAGATTGGTATCCTACATTAGGAACACGTTTTGTGCATACATCTGAGGGTAAACTATTGGTCACACGATTAATACCGTGTCCGCGTTGTTTACTAAATAATGGAGAAAATGAGAATGAAATTGTTGATAATGATCGTTTATCAGAGGATATTCAAAAATATTATATAAATAAAGAAAGACAAAGTCAGGATAGCTATAAGTCCGATGGCGATAGCGGTGTAGGATATGATAGCTTAACATCAAGTAGAATGCCATCTTTAGAAGGTCATCCAGATATCATTAAACAAAACACTCATCCTGAAGGTATTTTAGCATATTCCTGGATGGTTGAAGAATGTATTTTGTCTGCCTATAGTAATAAACCAATTAGTTGTCCAAAACATTTTGACATCCCATTGTCACATGTAGCTCCAGATATCATTTTTATGGATCTTGGTTCAAAACATTTAATAAAATCAGAAGATATAAAATTGGGAAAATTGTTAGGTCGAGGAGCATTTGGATTTGTATTTAAAGGTGTTTGTCGCTTACCGGGAACTTATCAAAAGGTCGATGTTGCTATCAAAATGTTACAACCAGTTCCACCAGGTCCAAACTCAAAACAATCAGCTGTTCTTGCTTACAAAGCTGCACAAAGTAAATGGGATAGAGATCCTCTACAGTATGCTTGCAAAGCTTACTGTACTGCAAGGCAAGAATTAAATATTTTGTTGACACTTAGACACACAAATATTGTTCCATTAATTGGAATAGTGGTTAGTCCACTAGCATTAGTACTAGATCTAGCACCGGAAGGTGCATTGGATAATGTATTAAAAAATTACCGACGTTCGGGTGCTAAATTAGACCCATATACATTACAAGCTATAATTCTTCAAGTTGCAAAGGCTGTAGAATATCTTCACCAACAACATGTAATTTATAGGGATTTGAAATCAGAAAATGTTTTAGTTTGGCAGATGCCTTTACCATTTCAAGATTATCCTGAACATCCTGTTCATGTTAAAGTAGCTGATTATGGTATATCCAGACTTACATTGCCAACTGGTGCTAAAGGATTTGGAGGAACAGAAGGATTTATGGCACCTGAAATTATTAAATATAATGGTGAAGAAGAATACACTGAAAAAGTTGATTCCTTCTCATTTGGAATGTTTATATATGAATTAATTACTTTAAGACAGCCATTTGAAGGCCATGAAGCAGTTAAAGAATGCATTTTGGAAGGTGGAAGACCACCATTGACATATAGGGAAACATTCCATCCTTGTTATGCTCTTGATTTAATGGTTATATGTTGGGCTCAAAATCCAAAAGATCGACCTACTGCAAGTCAAATAGTTTCTATAGCATCAGCACCTGAATTTACACATCTTATAGATGTTATATTATTAACAGAAAGAACTCAAGTAACTGCTATCACTATGACAAATAGAACTATAGAAGAAAACTTAAGCGGTGATGAAATTTGGTTTGGACATAACAATGGTGAAGTCGATATGTTATTAGGAACCCAAAAAGGCTGGTTGCAACACATTAGGATTGAAACTCCTATAATACCATATGCAATGTGTGGAGTAGATGGATATATATGGATTGGTGATGATATAGGACAAGTACATGTTTATTTAGGCAGTAATTTTGGTTGTGTTGCTAGTTATAATCTTGAACCTGATCATAGTATAGAATCTAAAATAGTGGGTTTAATTTATTTGGAACAAATAAAACAGTTTGCAGTAGCATTGCATAGTGGGAAAACATTTTTATTGTCAAATTCCTTCACTCAAATGAAAAAGATGGAAATTACAACTGATATTCAAGACAACATAAAGACATATTCTTTGGCAGCTGTGTATAAAAAAAAACGTATATTAGAATTATGGATTGGGCAAAGTTTTGGTAAAGTATCAATATATATTCTAAAAGATAACAGTCTAATAGATTCAGTACAAGTTTCTCATGTAACTGGAGAGACAGCTATTAAAAATTTATTTGCAACATATTTATTGAGTGCCGAAAATTCTGTATTATCATATACATACCCTGGTTGTATTGTGTATCAATGGGATGTGGATACTAGGCAAATAATAAATAAGTTAGATATGTCCAAATTAGTACCTTGTTCGGAGAGTTTAAAATCCATTTCTATAGAAGAAAATTTATCAACAGAAAAATGTCAAGTAACAGCTCTGGAAACTTGTAGAAATCAATTGTATATTGGCACTACTTGGGGATGTATTGTGGTTGCTGAATGTAATTCTCTTAGACCAATTACTGTTTTCAGACCCTTCGAAGGTAAAGTATGTCAAATAATATCATTTAAATCAACAGATGAAAAGAAATTAGTATTAGCAACTGTTGGTCAAGGTTACAGAAGCTTAATTTCACGATATACAGATTTTCTGATCGATAGTTTAGATGCAGAAGATCTTAAGCATAGTATGTATGCTCTGTTATGGAGATCTGAACATTGGTCAGCTGCTTAATCATAATTTTTTATAACAAGGTAAAGTCGAGAGTGCTTTGTGGTGCAAACTTGAGTGATATGACTGGTTGAAAATTCTATACGTCCATAATATACTTTAGTCTATAAACTATATAAGCTCTCTATCTTGCCTCATCTTACATCTTTTGAGCTGAAGATAAAAATATTTATCCTTTAATCTGTCCAAGCTATACGGTGCTTGATTGATATATTCTCTGCAAAATTTTCATTTGCAAAATGAACATAATTTAAGCAAGATATTTTTATCTTTATGTGATGTAATACAATATAGTTTTATAACTCATCATAGGTACTTAGAGCTTTACAGTAATAATACATTTACTTCATAATAAAAAGTAGAAGAAAAGATTATTAGCCTCGCAACATATTTGAAAAATTCATTTAATGATCTCTGACATATTACTAAATATCTGTATATTTAAGACAGTTTAGTATATGTGCTTATACTTCATGGAAAGTTACAAGCAGATACAATTAATATAATACCAATGTAATATATTTGTACAATGTCTGCTTAAAAATTTGTCTCAAAATAATATAAGTTTGATAAACAATAGTAAATGATAATGATTCCAAAATTTTACTATTAAAAAGGTTATCAAATTAGTGTAAAGTTAAATTTTATTATAATTATGAAAATGTGAAAGTGAATTTTTTAATAATAATTAAAATTCTTAACATGTAAAGGAATATGTGGAAATTGTGAGTGAAGTGTGTGTACTAAGCGATATGATCTAAAGTTGGTAGTTCTTCCATAGTTTCAATGTTATACTTAAGAATTAAGTCTTGACCTTGGTACAAAAAATATCCCTTGAATAATTCTCCTCGTAACATGTAAGGGAACCAATATTCATCATCCGGCCACATTTGTTTGAAAGGAATATCTTTTAAATTATACCATTTTGGCTGCATTTCTGAACAAAAAAAAAAAAAAAAAAAAAAGACATTACTGAAAATATGAGATAGATATATTTTTAAACTTTCTCATTTTGCTGGAGTATGTTTCTAGTTTCTTTTTCTTTTTTTAATTGATCTTCAGTTTACATAATTTAAACAGTAACATGCAATTTTGAGCTTATGATTGGATAAAAATTATTGCAATATGATTAAAATAGACATAGAACCATTGAATTATAATTGAAATTGCACATAAAAAGAAATTATCAGTAGTAATAAATATTTGATAATAATATAACATTAATTTTAGTTAAAATAATATTTAAAATTTAAGTACCGTCAGATTCCATTATTTGTCCATAATACTTATATGTTTCAAAGACATGAACTTCTAATAGAATTTCATTTCTTATAAATTGAAATTCCAAAATACCAATTTTTTTTAATTCTTGTGCAGATAAACCACATTCCTCTTTCAATTCACTACAAAATTACAGACGGTTAATCTGATTTTTTTTTTTGATAGTTTTCTTTTATTTTGATCTATTTTATATGTGATACCAATATTGTAATACAATATATGCAATATTCATATTATATTGCATAATTTTTAGCTGAAATGTTTCTTCTATTTTTATTAATTACTGTTACAATTTTAATTTAGGCGTATAGATTTGTATTTATTTAATTATTTAAAATTGTACCTGTGTATACAAGATGATTTATGAAAAATATTTTATGATACAAAAATAAATTTAAATAATCTAATTATTATTTAATTATACAGTAGTGTATTATCAAACATCGTGAGTGAGGAAACATGTATATTAATTTTATTGTTTTTATACTCTAAATAAAGAAAACTTGAACATTTATAAATAACATATTATTTAACTGATATTTGTTTAATCATATTAAGTTTTTGTAACTATTTTCATGAATCATCCTGCATATTATTAAATAAAACGGTAAAAATCTTTGTTAAATTTCGTTGTTATTTAATGTATCGATAATTATGAAATATAAAATATTGTTGAATATAAAATTTTCAACTTATTACTAACTATGTTTAAACAAATTTTTAGTATTACATTAAAGATCGATGATAATAAATTTTTTGATCAATATGTATAAAATACTTCCGATAAATTATTTAAAGTTATTTACCGTACAGCACCTTGAAAAATTGATTCTCCTGGTTCTATTTTACCACCAAAACCATTCCATTTATCTTTCCCAAAACCTCGTTTTTTTAAACCCAATAAAATTTCTGTTTCTTTTCTGACAAAGACTAATGAAAAAATTTTTCTCATAGACATTTTAGTGTATTTAATTTATCTTGAAAGTTAAAATTGTATGTTTACATCGGTAATGTAATTTTTAATTTATAATAAAAATTAGAACTATAATACAATCCTTATTTTGTACTGAAAAAAGTAAAAATTCAGTTTTATTTCTTTCCTTTACGTAGTAATAAAAATTCTCACATAACATAAATTATTATATTTTAATTTAGAATATATTTGGAAGGTTATGTCACCGAACATGTGTTAAATGTATTAACGATAGTTCCTGAATTTATTTTTACTTAACCCTACAAAATATAATCGTGGAAAACTTAATAACGACATAATTTTAGTGATATTAATTATTTCTAATAATTTTAATAAATTATTATAATTATATATTGAACAGTATATTTAAAATAACAATGAATTAATAAATTAAATTCACATTTATTAACACACATACACTTACTTCTATAAAATCAATGGAAGAAAGTAGTATGAACAATGAAGATTAAATGCACATGTTGTATATAAATTAATACTATATTTATTGTCTATTTAATATACTATTACAAAAGCAATTGGTATAAGATGTACTTGGTTTTTCTAATGTTGGATTTTATCTGCCATTGTCATACCCTTACCTATCTATTTTCATATTCTTTGCTGGCTTTGATTCTGATAAAAACATTTCATTATATTTTTCTAATGCGTTCATATATGCTTTTTCTTTGTTATTGTTATTAACCTATAATGATTAAAATACACTGTATAATATTTATAATTTGATTATATAAAGTTATTATATGTAACTAATTATTTTATATTTATGTGGAATTATATAATATTGTTTGATAAAGCAATCAAATTTTTATTATATATTACCGATAATAGAGAATTATACAGAGCCAGAAATATTTCAGTTCGGGAAGCTTTATTATTTTTCAGATTTACTGCAGGTATTTTAACATCTTCTTGAAATTTTCTACAAAATTACATTTGAAATATAAACATATACTATACATGTATCGTGATATTACATACATATTTATTAACATTTGTAAAGAGACTGAAATTTTACTCACGCTCTTATACAATCTTCATCATAAAAAATATCTTGTATTTCTTTGTTTGATACTATTCTATTAAATCGAGGTTCATATTTTGGAGGGAATGCTTTATATACATCGTACCATATCGGTACATTTTGTAGGGCCAATGCATTTGCACGTATCAATGATGTTACTCTAAAATTAATTTAAAAATATATATATAATGTAAAATTAATAATACTTTATTAAACGATGTAGATAATGATAATAAATAATTTATATAATAATATATAACCTATTTTGCATACAATATTTGTAGTTCCATAATATGCATATTAAGTAATTTTACCTTGAGAAAATTGTTCCAATTCTTTCTGTTCTACTTTTCGCCATATTTTAAATGTAGTATAATTCTTTAAATGCAATAATGCGCGTTGTGCATTTATTTCTTTTCGGAGAAACGACTCACGTGATACTCGTTTGTACACTTAACCTCAAATATTTAGTTACAGTAATTTAGCATATGTTTTCATGTGTAAACACTAGTGTTATATGAAGTAATATCAATTTTAATTACAATAGAGTCGAGTTTATAAATTATTGATATATCTTATATTTTCAATTAATCTATTTAATATTAAATATTTTTCATTCATATAAAAATTTGCAAATATGTTGGGAATAAATAAAAATCAAATTTCTGCAATTGGTTGTGTTTTAAATGACCAAAATCGACCATTAAAAGAAAGATTTCGTGCTTTATTTACTTTAAAAAATATTGGTGGAGCTGAAGCTATTCAACAAATTCATAATTGCTTTAAAGATGAATCAGCTTTGTTAAAACACGAACTTGCATATTGCCTTGGTCAAATGCAAGATACTCGTGCTATACCAATTCTTATAGGAATATTAAAAGATGTTACACAAGAGCCAATGGTTCGTCATGAAGCAGGTACTACACATTTGTCCTTTACTAAATGTCAAATTTCATTTCTTAATGTTTCTTATTAAGCAATATATTTCTTTATAATAGGTGAAGCTTTGGGTGCTATTGGAGATCCTAATGTAATACATATATTAGAAGAATATAGCAAAGATTGTATACCAGAAGTTGCAGAAACATGTCAATTAGCATTGTGTAGATTACAATGGTTACAGTCGATTAGTGATTCAACGAATTTACACAGGAGTCCCTATATGTCAGTAGATCCAGCACCACCAGCAGATATTGCAGATGTTAAGAAGTTAAAAGAAATCCTTTTAAATGAAAATATTTCTTTATTTGAGAGATATAGAGCTATGTTTGCTTTGAGAAATATACGTACTCCAGAAAGCATTCTTGCTCTCAGTGATGGTGAATATAATAATAATTCTGTCAGATTATATTTTTGTTATTTGCAGTTTTTATTAATTTATGTCATTCTAAAAATATTTATGTAAATAGGTCTAAAAGTAGGCAGTGCTTTGTTTAAACACGAAGTAGCTTTTGTACTTGGACAACTTCAAGAAGAAATTGCTGTCCCATATTTAGAAGCTTGTTTAAAGAATGTAGAAGAAAATGAAATGGTCCGTCACGAGTGTGCAGAAGCGTTAGGCTCTATTGCTACTCCAAATTGTTTTGATATATTATATAAATATTTAAATGATAGTAAAAGAGTTGTTAAAGAAAGTTGCATAATTGCATTAGATATGTGTGAATATGAAAACAGTTCAGAATTTCAGTATGCAGATACATTAGGAAAAGTTGCAGTTTAAAAATATATTTCTATATATTTCTAAATAAATAAAAATTTCATATAATAAAATAAAATAAAATAATTAAAGATAAAATTATTCAAAGCAGAAACTGTTAAATCCTATGTAATTAACTATGATATACGATAATTATATTATTTAGTATAATATATGATAAATGAATGAATATAAAAGATGATTATACCAAAATTTATCATATTTTATTTTTATTATCAAATTAACCTTGTTGAGGAGTTGAAAGTGAAATATTTTCAATACTGGAAAAAGTCTCATAATTTTACAATAAAAAATATATGCCAAGACCTATTTTTTTCATTTTGTCCAAAATGAAATCTTTTTTAACGTAAAAAGAATATTATCGTGTTAAAATATATCCAAGTATTTTAACAGGGTTAAACGTGATATTCAATTTTACAGATATTACACGTGTCACATGATATTCAAATACTTTCAGTATTTTAAGTTTTGAAATGGGAAATTTACTTAATTACTCGGTTGCTCGTTTAAAAGTGAAAGAAGATCGTCATCGTGCTTCGCAAATTGAACTTTTAAGTAATGATTTCGACAAAGTAAAAGAAATTTGGCAAATTGTAGAAAATGATAGCGCATACTATGGCTATGCAATTTGTACTGTGTAATTAAAACCTATTATATCATTCTTAAAAGTATAATTATATAATTATTGAATTATTTAATATAAAGTATATGAACGCGCAGGCTTTTGAAAAATCATCCGCAGTATATGAAGTATTTCGAAGACGAATCGATTCCATTATTCGTACAAGAAGCCAAAATGAAGAAAAAATTTACTACCATATGTGAAATCATTTGCGTTTTATTCAAAAATTATTACGACAAACCGTTTCGAAGGGATTATTTTCTCGGCTACATCGCAATGGTCCACAAAGATATGGAACTGACGTACAAAGATTTCGAAGTTTGCCATGTTTTCAGTGTAATAAATCTCACATACAGACATTACATGATATAAATTAAATTTCATTTACAGAATTTTATGTCGGATTTAATGGAAACATTGATCATAGAGTTACCACGTGTAATGACTACCGAACACATCATTGCGCAGACAAAATATTCCACCGCGGTAAATAAAAAACTGTTAAATCTTATGAGTGATCACGATAAAAGAATGATGCAAATGCTACGTACGGATTCAACCATGACAAAGGTATCGCTTTTCAAAAGATCTTATCGTATCGACGCGACGCACTGTGGGGCGGATGCACCAAAATACGGTAAAAAGCCATTTTAGAAAAGTTTGGTTTTAAAACAAATTTTTACACAAATAGTTAATTAGAGCTATGGAGTATTATATAGTACCATTTTTTAAAACAATTGTCCATTTTTAACATCACTACACGACTTTGAAGAAGTTCAAATTACGTCACTTTAAATATCACAACACGAACTTGGAGAAGTCAAATTGCAAATGACCCGACAAAATCGAAGAAAAATTGTCAAAACTACTAGAAAACTGTCTTTTCACCACTATGTTAAATAAATATCCTAATCCATAATCAAAATCTCGGATCTACAATCGATAATAGGAAACTACGCAGTATGTTTATACTATTTCCCCTGCCGTCGCTTCTCATCGTACATGAACCGTCAAAATCGAATATAAATTGTCATAACTATTAAAAAACTGCATTTTCACAATTATTTTAGCTAAATATCCAAATCCACAATCAAAATCTAGGATCTACAATCGATAATAGGAAACTACGCAATATGTTTATACTATTCCCCTGCAGTCGTTTCGCATCGTACATGAACCGTCAAAATCGAATATAAATTGTCATAACTATTAAAAAACTGCATTTTCACTATTATTTTAGCTAAATATCCAAATTCACAATTAAAATCTAGGATCTACAATCGATAATAGGAAACTACGCAATATGTTTATACTATTTCCCCTGCCGTCGCTTCGCATCGTACATGAACTGTCAAAATCGAATATAAATTGCCATAACTATTAAAAAACTGCATTTTCACAATTATTTTAGCTAAATATCCAAATCCACAATCAAAATCTAGGATCTACAATCGATAATAGGAAACTACGCAATATGTTTATACTATTTCCCCTGCCGTCGCTTCGCTTCGTACATGAACCGTCAAAATCGGATATAAATTGCCATAACTATTAAAAGACTGCATTCTCGCAATTATTTTAGCCAAATATCCTAATCCACAATCAAAATCTAGAATCTACAATCGATAATAGGATGGTATGCAGTATGTTTATGTGATCTACACTCACGACGCTTGATTTCGCACATGCACTTCGTATCATTTTTATATGCACTATGTAACTTCACTTTATTTCACTTGTGGTATATCACAACCGAACAAATGGTTGTAGTTATATGTCTTGAGCTTGGTAAAGGTCTATCAATTTGTTAATGTTGTGTTGTGGTTCATTCGTCAACATTACGACAATGTTGCAACGTAACCTATAGTTGCAATGTTACGAACTAATAACTAACACTGGACATTATTATTCTTGGATATACGTTTCGTCGATTGCAGCAATTAAAATTTCATTCAGTAATAATACTATTTTACGAAATGTTTTCTGTAGCCATTGAAAGTTTTATTTTGACGCGCGATAATACTGCACCATGTGTTACCGGTATGTTCGATTTGACTTCGACTTGAGGTTAACTACGGTTGTACAAGCTAAGCGTTGTCGCGGGAAATACTCCATCTTTGAAATAGTCATTTGCCAAAGAATCGATGTAGAATACCAAACGAGGTATTTTATATTTATTAATAACAATATTAATTTTAAAGAAATACTTACAAACAATGTTCCGAATTACGTCAGATAAAGTAATAAAAAAAAAAAGAACAAAAAGAATATATGATAAGAATGATGATGATAATGATGAAGATGGTGATGATATCGATGATACGAAATAAATTGGAAGTTTATCAAGTTTCTCATCTGAATAATTCATTATTTATTAATAATTAGTAATTATTTATTCTTTATTATTTTGTTCTATACTTACCGCATTTATTTTATTTACATAAAATCATTAGTTTTTATACTTTATTACCATTTATTCAAATATTATGTACAAAATCTTAAAGATTTAAGTAAATTTAAGTAAATTAAAAGAGCTTGAAAAATGATTTACAAAATTTCATGTTTTTAATTAAAAAACCTATTTATTAATAAAATTGATGAAAAGAAACTCAGAAAAATATTAAATATATATTTGAAATTTATGAAGTACGAAAATAAGCTATATATATGTGATATCAGCTGATAAATGCTTTTTGCCACATTTGTGCGACGTGTCAAATTGTAGAATGTCAACTGCTTCACGATTTCATATAAAATTAAGTGCGAACTTTAAACAGTGTTGTACATGGAAAAATGATCCAGAGTTGCAAATTATGTATGGATATCCACTGAAATATTGGCAATATAAAAAACGATATTGGGAATATCGAAGAGCAATCTGGGCATCGATGGAAGCCGAGATGTTGGCGAATTCTACGCTTGATTATAACATGGACAATTCCAAAACGACGGGTTTTACTCGAAAATCTGAGCAAAGCAAGAGATCGGTCCGTAAAAAGCAAACAAGATCACAATCGCCTAGCGGAGGTGTAAGTTCGGACAGTGACGTGAATCAATTACGAAGTAACGCTATATTCTTATCCACGTATTATTCGAAAGTCGATTTTATTTAATTTTTCGATAACGAACATTCGTTTGATTAATAAAACAATACCAACAATGTAATCAAAATTATAATATTTAATTTCAAGAATGTAATAGTAAAAACATTTATTTTTTAAATTGTCACTGGAAGCGTTAACTTCAAGGACTGAACGTATCAGCCAGTCGACAAGAATCTCATGGTTACTAACAATGGGAGACACAGAAGGAAGTAGTCAAATTGGAAACGGCTCTAAATCTATTCAAGAGGTAGAACGCACTGCATCTATATTTCTGTTTATCACAAAAATTGATCTTTGCTTTTATCCTGAACGCAGTCACGATATTGCTAATATTTTCTTCTCGAAGGTGAAAGATGATCGTAATGACGGTAATAATAAGGATTCGAAAAATTTGCATACGCAAACTACGCAAAGCACGTATCCCTCGCAAGTAAAGGAAGGTATATTACGTTTAACATTTCTTAAACCGACCTTTACATTTTCTTCCTTTCCTGTCTTCCTTATTATTCGCCGATGTAATCACGAAATAAAATTCTTTTCCACTGCAGGGACAAACGCGAATGTCAGAAATCAGACGGCAAGGGAACGTAAACGAATATATAACGCGCACTTTGTTCATCAAGCTTAAAAATTTCGCAGGAGACACGATAAGAGCATAGGTAACTTAAAACTCTTCCTTGCTTTTGCCTTTCGTCGTCTTGTCCATTTGCCTCGTACTAATATTTCCTTAAATTCGATTTACAGAACGCTCGCGGTTTCTCGTGGCACTTGAACAGCGTGAAACAGGTTTCCGATGGTACAAATAAAATCACAGAGAAAGTTCAAATACATAAAGTGCAATTAATTGTTTATTCTGCTTCCGTTACTTCAGCTTTCGCCTTCTTATTACAACTTTCTCTGTCGAATATGTCCTGAATTTCTTTGAAGGACTTGCGCGAAGTTTCTGGCATGATGACGTTCACAACGATAGTGATTATAAGTTCGATAAGGGCAAAGCCGAGGAACATTGCGTGATAGCCGAAACGATCTACTATAGGCTTGTAAATTACTCCAACGATCATAGCGAGCGCGGATCCGTAAGCATTGGCAATCGTGGTTGCCCAGGATTTCACACAAATCGGGAAAATCTCCGAGGAGACGGTTGCTGGGATCGAGGCTAAGCCAAAGGCGAAGAAAGCGACGTAAATCCCGACGGAAATCAATGGTACCAGAGAAAACTTATCGACCTTCATCCCTATTTTGGCAAGTAAGAAATATACTCCGATAACAACGAGGCACAAGGTACTGGTGTACGCTGATACAAGGTAAACGACCTTCCTGCCAAACCTGTCGACAACCAACGAAGACACTACGCTCGATACCAAAGCGATCCCACTGATTAGAAGAAGAGCAGTCTCGGTAGAGAAACGTAGATGGAAATGATTAAAGAGGATGCTGCTGTACGATTGGATGGCCATATATCCGGATAACTGTTGCCCTGCCAGTAACAGTAATAGGAGTAACAATGCTCTCCTGTGCGCCGGTATCACGAATAGCTGCTTAAAGCCACCCTCTTTTTCGGCTTCTATGGTCTTCTTTATTTCTTCAATCTCTTCGCTGTTATCCCTTCTGCGCCTTAGCCATACCAAGGTTAACGCGGCACATTTCTCCTTGTTCTTCTTTATGTAAAAGTAAGGCGATTCCGGTAACCACAGAGCTGTGAGGAGGAATACGACTACTGGTGCTAGACAGATCAGCGTCAGAATCTGAAACAAGCGATTTAATTCTTTAATATCTTGCCGATTTTCATTTGAAATCGCAGTACAGTTAATTTGACATCTTCCTCCTCTACTTCTCAACGCATTGCGTCTCGTGACAATCTCTTCAGCCTCAATTTTTGACGCTGATACGTTGTCATCGGATATATATTACACGCTACTTTGTGCAAATGTAAAGAGTTTCTAAAATTTCTGATATTATTGGACATATAGTTTAACATAGCACTTGTCGTCTTCATTTAATTTTCACGTTCGTGGATTTACGTGATACACGCGTGATCATTTTAAAAACCCAAAGTCGTTGATATTCCCGAGGAAATTTTCCAACAATTACCTTTCCCGAGAAGAGTGGACCAACACCGTATATGAAAATGTATCCCAAATTGAGCATCAGAGCCATAAGTGTGCTGCAGCCTCCTCTGATATTTGTTTCAACTATTTCTCCAAGGTACACGGGGACCATGGCACACAGCGCTCCAACTGACAGACCAACGATGAATCTCGCTAACAAAAGTTCCACCCAAGATTTCGCCAAGAAAGTGAGCACCCAGCAGACGATGAACGGCACGCTGGTTAGATAGAGGAACCATTTTCTGCCGATGCGATCCAGCAGTAATGCAGATAGAAATGGACCGAAACAGCCGCCTATCGATATCGCGCAGACTACCCAGTTTTCAAGGTTGCCAGGCACGTTTATGGGAGATTTGTGGCTTCGTATGTCGGGTAGAGCAATCGTCATCCAGCCATAGGCAATTCCAGAGCAGAACAGCATTAGAGTAACTTGAAAAGAAAAAGAAATAAAGAAATATTATATATTTCTCGATTACCATCGAACCGGGTTAATTATGCATGAGAGTGTTCTTATTTTCGGACGCGTTCCAAAATATGATCGTGGGATGATCTTTTACTATCAATAGAACACTCGTAAGTACGATTTAACGCTAGAGCTATGACACTTCACCAGAGGGGTGAGAATGACTCGTTTCAGAATTTTATCTTTGCACTTACTGAAAATACACAGTTCCTTCTGCTGAAATTAATATTGAATTTTATCCGAATAGAAATCTAATTTTATATGCTTATTTATTTTTATTACACCGTTTTGATGATTATTGTTTATGTATATTATATTCGGGTACGGATTACATATCGGTAAGTCTAGTGTCAATTAATTCGTGGTTTGCAGTGAATCGAGTGATCAGAGACATATAGATGGCCAGGAATACGAATAGCTGTATCGTGATTAGCATTGTTTAATTGTTCCGTTTATCTCCTTAATCGAGAGGCTCGCGATCTATCGTAACAGTGATCTACGATGTATAATGTATTTATTATCTGTTAATCGATGATATCGTACGAATAATGTTCGTCTATTTCAAACGAACTGCACTAATGCGATATACCTATATCTTGGTCTCTAATAGGATCGCCTGGACTTAACGTGAAAAATCACGTTTCTTCCGCCATGATCCGAATCGTTAAATAGCTTTTCTATGGAGACCACTGTGCATGCAAAATGTGTTCATAACGTGCAGGTGCACCGTAAGAAACTTGTTATAGTTTTAGGATACGAGATCATGTATTTCTGTCGATACCGATTAAGGAGCTAAACGAAGGGAACAGTGATGTAAAATTAAACACGTTCGTTATTACCACGTTGAATAAGTGTGAAAATTCTGTCGACATTGTTATCGATGGACGAAGTTAAGTCACGACATCGAGTTACAGTAAATTCTGCAACGTTTCTCATCGTTTCTCAAAGTCGACAGAATTTTCCAGCTCGTCCTATACGTTCTATTAGACTATTAAATGTTTCTATCTATTTTTATATTTAATATTCTTATCTGTTAGATATTTACCTATAACACTGCATATTATTTGCAAGTAAATCTTTCCCTTGTCCTTCATCACTCCTTCGAGTTCAACCATGGTCGCTGCTTCTCTGCGTACAGAAAACGATTACTCTCAATGCATCCTCTGTTTGTTACGGAGGTCAATTCCGTTCGATAATTGCTAAAGGAAGATGATAATTACTGACTAGATAAACGAGGAATTTTATCTTTGACGGAGAGACAAACATTTCAGAGGCACCCGGCACGAACGGCTCGCATATTTTTCTTACGATACGTGCACCTCATGCAAAGCAATTAAAGCGATGTCGCAATTTTAGCACCTGGCAGGTGCACACGAAGCCGCATTTGTCATAAGGGAGATGTTCATCAATCATTGCACGTTCTATTGGAATAGAACGCACTACATGGACAAGATTTATAGCGTGGTCTTAGAAACCTTCACATTCACATTTATATTTTATTACACGCGTGATTGTTTAAACGATCTTATTAATTACTGTCTCGATCATTTTGTCGTCTAAACAAGTATGTCCTTTTTTCATAGTCCTCGCGATTGACTGAGATGACAGTCTCTCGTGTTCTGCACGCAAGTCCTTCGGGAGTTTAAGACCAACAGGTTTGCTCGGTATAATTTCGTGAAATGACGTCAATGGGACGAATTATGGTCAGGATTGTACATACATCGATCACGAACAGTCCTGTTTCACCTGGCATTTTTCACGTCGTTTCATCGTCGTTAAAATACCGTTTACCAGTTGTAAAATCGACCTGCATCAAGGAGTGACGTATGCGATCATTTTGAAAGCTCGTACTTGCGTATAAAATTTCGTGGAATTTCATTTCCATCTATTTAGCCATTTATTTCGTCGCAAGGTGCATATCTCGACGTGACATACCTTTCAATCGCCTTTTTCTATGTATTCTTGCATTTCCATTCGCTATTTATTTCTCACTTTCCTTTTCTTTCCTCGAGTCGTGAACATGACACATTAACATAATTTCTGTACTTATTCTTCTCTTTAATGGGGAAGTATTTATGCCATTCGAGTTACATCGTAACTGATGTTCTTCCTATATTTCCCTGGAAATTTCGTACGAGATATAATTCCTATATCCGTGATTACGTTACTGCGTTCGTATATGTTTCGATATTAGACATTCGGATCAAGGATATGTATTATATTCGCGTTCTACGTCAATTTCTCAGCAAGTGGAGTAGAGTTGAAACTCGAACAGAACAGTGAGTTAGACACTAATTGGAAGAGCGATCAATTCCAGCCGAATCGCTGTATTTCGCTTGTTGCCATCCAAGCTCTATAATTAACATCGTTACTTAACGAATTGACTCTGTACAATTAACAAACTGGTTCAGGTATATCACACGATTCAAAGATTTTCAGACTCGTAAACTGCATGAAAGACTTGCAACCTGATTCAGGTATATCGGACAACTTCTCAATTATCTAAGAAAAAAAAAAAAAGAAAAAAGAAAAGAACAGGAAAATTTATATCACGTAAAGGAATATACAATAAATTATTGCACGTCTTTCTAATTACCCACAAAAAAAGAAATAAATAAATGAAAAGCGCGGGAAAGAAGTATATACAAACACCGTACTAACAAAAAAAAAAAAAGAAAAAAAGAAAAGAACAGGAAAATTTAAACAAAGCAAAGGATTATACGATACATTATTACACATCCTCCTAATTACCCACAAAAAAAAAAAAATAAAAAATAAATAAAAATAGTGGGAAAGAAGTATATACGTACACCGTAACGCTTTCTCATTCTCAGATACCGAGGAAAATCGAGGGACGTTTGTTGGACGAAAGAAACAGTGTACGTAGACACGTATGTACGTAGCATGCCTGGCGAGTACGTGTGTGGCAAGGTTAATCGGTTAAAGTAATTAGCCGGATGCGAACGTTGGGTTCGTGAAGGAATTTAGGGGCGGCCATTGTTGACGGTCGTCGTGTCGTTTCAGCAAGGATCGAACGATCAGAAGCCGATCGGTGTTCGCCGAAGCAACGCGGAGTTCAGTGACCAACGCGTTAAGCAGTCGAATCGGTTAACCGACTTAACCAGTTGGCTGCTGATCGTGTAAAGAGGCTGTAATCCTTTAATCATTTAACCGCGTGACATTAGCAGCAGCGACGATCAAGTGGAGGGGGTGGATTTAAAATAGCATTAGATAGGCAGTGCCGTCAGTCGGGCTCGAAGAACGAGTAGTCGTCGTCCAACCGTGTCAGCGATTGAGCGAATTGAAACGACAGTACGTGGCACGTGACATATCATACAGAATTACGGTAATTGTGGTGACTCGAATCGAGCGCTTAGCACGCTGATAAACGGCGATCATGACGTGATCTAGACGAATCGATTTATCCAACGAGCATTCAGACCCTCGCACGAGTTCTTCTTTTCGTTTCTCATTCATCGATCCCTCGAAATATCGCATGATCGAAGCGCGAACCTTCACCGTTTGACCGGCGCGGCCTCTTTCTCCGTCGTCACGGGAAAGGAAAATCATTCTCCTCTTTCTGCCAAGGGTTTCCCCTTTTCCCGGCGTTAACCGGCCACCGGACATGGCAATGTTTCTTCGTTTCCTCGGGATCTTGCCGCACGACGATAACAAAGTCGATTCGGCCACCGGGCTGACGGAGAGACAGAAGAAGCTAGTGCAGAACACGTGGGCTGTTGTGAGAAAGGACGAGGTGGGCTCTGGCATTGCCGTGATGACCGCGTAAGTTTGCAATTTCTTCCTCATCGATAACGATACGCGGAATCTCCGGTCGATAAGGTACAATAGCGCTTATCGGAATAAAGCAACGATTGTTACTGTACAGCCAGTGAGACGGTAGCGAGGTTTGCGACGTTTGACAGCACGTTGCGTAAACACGACTGATTCATTTTTAATATTTCGAAATCTGTTATGAGCCGATGTTCAGAGATAATCTTCACAGGAATATCGTGGCGGCGTCGCGTTTATCTCGATCGATAGTGGAAAAATCGTTAGATAAACTATCCTTGATATTGTGTCTTCTGTAGTTCTTGTTATTCCGTTATCTTCGCGCCAAGGTCTTGTTTCGATCATAGCTAACCGTGTCGCAACGTTCCAATCCAGGACGATTAACTTCACATTGATTCCGTTTCGCGGATTTTCCTTGATTTCCGCGTTTTTCGCGTAAAAACCTTTCATTGGTTCGCGATAATTCTTCCGTGGAGCGCGAACAAATAAGCGAATCACGCGGCTGCGAATAAAATGTGGCGATGGGAATTATTATCATAGCCAATTATCGATTAGCTTCGATGAATCGCGAACGAATAGTTAGAAACATATTTCTTTCCGATAAATATGGTATTTCAGTTTGCTCCATTCACGTGTCACTATGACGATATCCGATTGCACGATCATTTTCAGATTCTTTAAGAAATACCCGCACTACCAGCAACACTTTAACGCTTTTAAGGACATCCCATTGAACGAACTACCGGCTAATAAACGGTTTCAAGCTCATTGTGCCAGCATAATTTCGGCCTTAAATTCCGTTATCGATTCCTTGCACGACTCAGGATTAATGGAGGCGAACCTAGTCGTCTTGGCCGAGAGGCATAAAAAACGCGGCCAAACGAAGCTAGAATTTGAGGTACGAGTGCGAAAGTGACGGTGAAAAATCGAGCAAACGCGCTGCTCGTGTCCCTTAAAAGCGAAAGTAATTATTGATTTTCACGGATCCAGTGCTCAAGTTAACCCTTTTGGTACCAACCACCACGTACGAACCGTTCGCAAGCCAAAACGATGATCCCCACTTTTCCAATCTTTTCGCAATCTTATTATCAAATCGCTAGATCATCTGTAACATTCTTTTACTCGATAAACGGCTACCTTTTCCCTTCGTGGAGACGATCAATTTGGAAAACGAGCAGCTCGTATAGCGTTTCTAAAATTTTCGAATTCTACCCGTAAGCTCGACAGATTATCGCTATGATCCCGAGCAAATTCTTTAATTTGCTAGTTTTTTGATTTGGTAGTTATCGAAAACCTAGGTATTTAACGTTTATGAATCTTCTGAAATTTTACAGAAGTATACAAATTTGAAATATGAAAATAGTGGTACTAAAAGGGTTAGAACAAACGATACGATTTCGCATTATAACACGAATTTGAAATATGAAAATAGTGGTACTAAAAGGGTTAGAACAAACGATACGATTTCGCATTATAGTACGCTATGCGTGTAAAATTGACAGATTCTAGATTCTTTCAAACTTTACCGCGAGATTTGACCCAATAATCTACAGTAAGTCTAGAGTAACGTGTAGGTAGAAAAGTAAGGAATATTTTTTAACCTGGTTTTCTAGAATTTGAAGGAAGTAATGCTGGATGTTCTTCGCCAAGCACTAGGGAGACAATACACACCGGAAGTGGCTGAGGCGTGGAGGAAAACTTTGGATTCTGCTTTCACGAAAATATACCAGGTTCTTGCTTCCTGAACAACAAATTCCAATACATACATATTTCAATAATCAGTGAGAATTAAACGTTGTATATAAATTGCACTATTTTACATGCTCGCACCATTAGGGTATTAGGGACCAATAGGGTACGACTCGATGAAAATGGGAAAAAGAAAATCGTCTCGAATGTCGAGGAGAAATATGCGTTTATATATCGAGAACTAGACCTCTGTACACTCTGATATTACTATATCGTATAATGCATGTATATTTGTATATATTAACACACGTTTTGTATTACTCGTTTATTTTCAATCCTATGTATCGCACGTTGAACCATCCGATATTATAATTAAAGTTGCACGGACAAGTGTATAAATCCTTTATTTCTTTTTTCTTTCTCGTTTCTTTATCTTCGTTTCGTAGTTTCCTTTCTTCAAATTTTACTCGGCTCGTTATATTCCACGCACTTGTACTTCCACGCAACGATCCCCCGTAAATTTCTATACAGATTCCTTCCTGATCGACATCCTCCTCGGTGGCCAAAAAGTTACAATTTTTCAATTCTCGAAGAAATTACACGGAACCTGTCTTGCGTCCATTTTACGTAACACGACTATGTTCTACGTTTTCAACTACCCGACTGTACCGGAGAATTTTTTAGTACCGTACTCGATATAATCTTCTCGCTGTCAAACTTATTACGGATAGAACGTAGTTTATCGTTCGCTATACTCGGATCGATTCGAAATCGATAAAGTTCCACGCTCCGAACAACAGACCTAATCGACGACCAGGTGATCGGAAACTAGTCGATTCGATCGGCGGATAATTAAACGAATTACGAACGGTGCAATAATAGCCGTAAGCTAGCGACGTGGCGAAGCGAGACGCGTATTTTGCTCGCGGAATCAAAGGTACTGAATACCGGAATAAGTAGAGGGTCAAGTGTCATCTAGAATTCTATAGAAGACTATTCATATGCTAGCACGACGCTCGTAACAGACTAAGGCGGGACGTCGGACAATTGTGCCAAAGATTCATGCTCGGTCGCAGATCCCAGTCGACGATCGAACGTTTTCAACTCGAGGATGGTAGAACGAGAATACCATTGGATGGTTATTGAAAATATCCAGAGAAACGTTAAGTTTCGTGTCGAAGTGATCAACATGTTGGCACGATGTCGCGGAAACGCACATTTCTTGTAGGAAAATCGTTGAAACGAGTAGTCGCTTACCTATATTCAACTGGTGGACGCAGTAGACACGGTACTCGCAGTGATTCCGTCACACGTTTCACTTCAATCATTCAGAGCCATCTGTCACAGACTGGTATGATCCATTTTATAAACTTTCTCGATTTTTTTAGTCGAAGAGATAAAGACACTTTTTCGCAGCAGGAGCAACGATAATCTTCGTAGAGTCACGTTATCAGACCGTTTTCTTTTTACCATGTCCGTGTCATTGTCTAGAGTATATAGGCCAATCATAATCAATAATAAAATAATCGATTACCTTTTGCGTAGATAACATTACTCGATGTAATAATGTACAACGTTCTTCTGTATCATCGTTGCGAGTATTAGCTACATTTCAGATATAAAAATGCTTTTTATATTAATAATCTATTATTATCTACAGATATAATTCTTGAATAAGCGACTTCATGTTCAATATTGTGTTATTATTATCGTAGATCAGCTGGAATGGATTAGAAAGCGACGTTTGTCGAATTTCCATATATTTTGGCAGTAATTCGACCAAGTGACTCCAATATATTAGGTGAAGTAAAAAGAAATCCATTATTTTTATAAATACAAATACTGGAATATTCAGGTGGTGGCCAACATTGTTAACCCTCTATGGGCCCGTGCAACTTTCAAGTTACATGCTAATGTATGGCTATTTTATTAAATACTGCATTCAACGTTATCGTCTTCATCATTCCAGTTCGCGATTGTTCTTTCGATATATTTATAATTATTTTTACAATACCTCCCGTGGTTTCATTTTTAAAAATTCTAATTCTTTTTCATTTACCGGTTATTCGACCATGATAGGTTAGGTCCTCTATGGCTCTTTATGACCTTTTCTCTACAAGATGGCGTGGAAAATTATCTTGTCTATCTATTGCGCATTATCTTGGCACAATAGTACAACCGTTGTTAATTCAAACTTTCAATATGAATTCGTTGTAATAAAATTGTCAAAACTGCTGAATTTATTGGTTGATATTTGTTGATTTTATGTTACATACAATTCTTATAATCGAAAAAAATATATATTCGGCCCAAAGAGGGTTAACTTACTTCGTCTTTCATTATATTAGGTGTAGTAAAAAGAAATCCATTATTTTTACATGAAATTGAATGCAAAAATAATGGATTTCTTTTTACTTCACCTAATATATAATGTTCTATAGATTAGACGTGCTTCTTTCTTTTCTTTCAGATTCTAGTCCAAATTCGAACAAACTGTTATTTTTACTTAATTTTTAATAACGGTTAAACGTGTCATAAAAGCACGAGTCAGCCTAATTTTCGATTCTATACATCCTCATTGTCCTGTACGCAGTATTAGAAAGGTAATAGATGTAAATTAATAAATATAATACGAATCATGTTTCAAAATTTTAAATATACTACGATATCTTCGATGTAATTTTCAATTTCCATTCGTGTATAATAATATACAAATTGCATGTCCTAACTCTGCGAAGCAAAAGGAGAAATTTGTTTCAAATATGAAAAATTCAAGAAATTTAGGAAAATTTAGGAATGAACGGAGTTTCAGTTCATATTTAATTAACCGAGAAATTTATTTGTCATATTTGAGAAAGTGAAAATTCTTTCCACTATTTTTGCAATACATTCTACGTCATGCTATTACCTACATTCTGCCAGTGCCTTAATTCGAAGTAACAGTCGTCCATGTTACTGCTTCGAAAATGGTCCTTTCAATCACGAATGAGGTAAACGATCTATTATTTGTAAATATTCGCATAATAGAAGGGGCGCGAAGAAGCAATGACGATATACCGCGTGACGATTTATAACTTTTATTAGTTTTATTAGTAAGAATCGTTGTTCAAATATCTTTGGATCTGCAGTAAGCGTGCGATACGAGAAACTATAATTACGATAAATTCCAGTTAAAATGTCTACCAAGATTATATATGGATTAGGTCGATATCTGAAGAAGATATCCGCGGGGTAACTGTTAAAATTGGATTTATGGGAAAAAGGTGAAATCGATAAACACACGTAGGATTATTGCGACTTATTATGACATAAGTTAGGCTATATACATTGCATATTACGTTATTTTTCACTCCAAATCAGGTACGTTTTGCAACACTTGCCCAACATTTTGCAATACCTGTTCGAATTCAGATTGGATTGACAGGTTCGAGATAAGATAAAACACTAATTACTGCCGGAATAAGGTAATCAAAGTACAATTTGGTACTCGAGTTTCTGCCTAATGGAACGTATCCCAGTTGGCAGAGATAATATTATTTCGGTTATCTCGAAGGATGTATCTTACATATATGGGTAATATGATGAAATATTCTCCGTGTCTAACAAGGAGAGTGCAAGTCCTTCGGGTCACCGATTTAGTTGAAACTTTACAGATTTAAAGATTTCGATGGCTCTGATGTCAGTTTACTAACTCTGGTTATGTGCTCCGAATATATTTTAATAAATCAAATCGGCAGAGGAAAATTCATTAATTACTCAATATCTGTGAGTAATTTATGAACTTTTATAATACCATCGTAAAGCCAGATCCTTTACGAACTTTCACATATATTTTTCGATATAAATTTGTCCCTAATTAATTAATTATTAATAATTGTTCTGCGCAGTGTTTGAATTGTTGTCGAAGATTGTCGAAGATGCCATTGGTCTTTCATTAATTACTATCCTTTGCGCAATTAATTTATGAAACTTTATGCACTCATTATAAAGTCAATGTTCTTGCGAATCTT